AAAACCCTTTTTTGCGTTACCATTAAATAAAATGTTTAAAAAAAGTTTTCACAGACTTATTATGTCAAATGTTGGTTGTTTCCTAATTATTGAAATTTCATTTACTATAAAATTTTTTGGTGTTATAATCTTAGTTTTAATTCATAACGGTCTTGTTTAAACGCATCAACGTTTTTGCTTTTGTATAAAACCAAAAACGTAGATCCGATTCTTAAAAACGTTAAATTACTGAAAACCTCAAAAATCATACAATAAAAAAGCTTTAATTTTGTAGTTTAAAAGTTAAATAAATTTTCAACTAATAATAATAAAACGATAAGTTTGTTATTTTTTAACTGTTGATTTTTAGTTCCAACTAATGAAGTTTGTTTTGTTTTCATTTTACATTTTTTCTAAAAATGTTGAAGTGCTTAATACAGTAGCGTTTAAGCTAGCTAGAAGATTACAAAAAGTCTATAGCTATTTGATTGCTACATATCGCAGCTTTTTTTAGCTATCTATATTTTAGCACGGAATGTCGATAGTTTTTTATACAATTGTAGTATCGGCCCACCTTTGAATGTGAGTACTTTTAAACTAACTCAATAAGTTATTTTTTATTGTAATCAATGCACAAAGCATTGCATAAAATGTGTTGAGTATTTAACTTATGTAAAGTTGAGTTGATTATGAGCTGTATTTATTATGATTTCTTTTGTCCTTTTTTAGTAACAGACTTTTGTATATGTCAAGGATTAACCTTTTTTGGATGTTTCCAGAATTCTGGAAATTTTTTGTAACTTTTTTTTTGCTGGATATCTAAAATATTTTCTATACTTAAAAGTTTAAATACATCTATTTGTTTTATAAGCTTTTTCACTCATCACTCATAAAAAAATAAAGAAAAGTTTGAAAAAAAAAGAAGAAAAAACTCAGCTATAAGCAAAAATAAGAGGAAAATAAGAGAAAATATTTTCCGGGTATTTTACCCATACAAATTTCCGGATTTTTAAAATATTGCCTGGACGATCTATGATATGTATATTGTATAAAACTATGATTGTATGTATATTAAAAAAGTTATTTCTTTAGCATATTCCCTATCGGCACATCTAGTTTCTTTTTCGGAAATAAAACCTATATAGGCACGTGTTTTTCACGATCCAGGCGTAAACCAAAAGCACGTGTTTATTACGGGCAGTTTTACTAGAGTTTAACACGTGTTTTTTGAGGTTTTAAAGTCAAATTTAAATATTGCATGTTTTTATCAGTGGTTTCACATTCCTTACGGAAAGTTATTAAAATATAGTACTACGTTTCCATAACGGCGAAACCATTAATACTTTAACTGGTATTTATGGTAAATAGTAATAGTTAATTTCACGGAATAAAAACCATTTAGGATACGTGTTATTCTTTTTGTTTTAGAAGGTTTTAAAAACGCAACAGAAACCAAGCGTAACTATTTTCTGAGTTGTGCCGGCTGGGTTCATACTGCAGAATCAAAAGTAGAAATTGATTTTAATACATCAAAAGAAAAACACAAGGAAACTTCTTTAAGTCAATAAAACAGAAAGAGAAAAAAAAAAATGTATTTTTGAAGAACCTCCTTTACCATCATTACTATTCTGGGAGCCACCAAAGCTTCCTGATTCCGATTCAGTATACATTTAAAATTTTTATCCCATTCGTAAAAATAATAATTTTTTTTGTTTCATTTTTATGGTTTATTTGCTTTTTTTAGTTACCATTTTTAAATTTAAATTAAAAAAAAAAAAGTATAATATAATCAGAATATTGTGAATGTATTTATAATCATTGTTAATCTTGTTTAGAACTTTTTGTCCGTCTCTGCCTCAATGGATCAAGTAGATAACTTGCCAGTTACACAGATAGTATTTCCATCAGAAATGCAGTCTGTTTCACAAGTTCAACCGTTAATGCATTCATCTTCTTCCTTTTCTTTACCATCTCAAAAAACTGGGATAGACCAAATAAATAACTTTATTCGGAAAGCAAATGTTGAACCCAATACTTTTGAAGGCATTCAATTTATAGTGAACTCCATGTACAAAAAACTTTGTGGGTTGGAAACAGAAATGCGTTCCATGCGATCAATTTTAGACACTAATCGTGGTAATGAAGAAAATATTAATATAGATTATTTACGAGCTAATTCAAATGAAGAGTTTGACTCACTAGAAAATAAAATAATTAACTCTAATGATAAAGTTATCATTTGCAATAAGTTAAAGCAAATTGGTAGGAGAAATGTAAGTGACTTTTAAAAAATGCTTTAAAAACTTGTTTAACAGACAAGCTGTGTTGCAGCATTAATCGAACTGGTGCAGATAAAAAGCGTAAGTTTATAGGACCAGTCGAAAGTTAGATTTTTAATGCAGCTTACTGTTTATTTCCAACTGCCACTGAATCCAGTATGACTACAATAATTGCAAAACACTTGAAAAAATCTAAAGATTGTTATTTTGCTACAAGAAAGAGAAATTCTTCTTTAACAAGGGATATACAAATACACAGTCCTGTTAGAAAAAAAAAGATATTTAAACACTGACTCATGTAGTGATTCCAGTTAACTTATTTTTTTTGTTTATTTGTTCTATTATTTTTTATTGACTTTTTTTTTTTGATATTTTATTTGTTACAACTTTTTTAGCAATTATTTTCGAAAATTGATAAAGATTAAAAAAAAAATTAAAATTTGGCAGAAATTTTATTCTATTATCTTTTTAAATATCTTTTGAAATTATTAATTTAATTTAGGCAAAATCATTTAGTTGTTTATGACTTTTTATTTTTCAAAAGTAATCTATAACTTTTCGTTTAACATTTTATAATGGCTTTAACATTGATTACTTTTTACGGAAACAAATATTAACATTTTGTATTTAATTTGTTATAAATGCAATCTTATTTTAATGGCTATAATTCACTCCCCTGAAAAATATAGCACGCGATTCTTTGAGTATATCTTCTAACCTAGCCAATATTTTCTAGCCAAATTGATTTCATTACTGTAACGACTTAATGCTAGCTATTTGCTAGCTTATTTAGCTAGTAATCCTCGTGGCCATACCGCTGTCTTTATCGTAACAACTTGTCTCTAACTTGTTTAGCTAGCGGAAATATATATATATATATATATATATATATATATATATATATATATATATATATATTGCATCAATCTTTAGATCAGGTAAAAGCTTTTGAGTAAGAAACCCAATGACACATAAATAAAGTTATAGAAAAACAAACAAAGAGAAATAAAAAATATAAAAACTGACACATACCACCACCAAAAGTCCCTCTTAAAAAGTCTTTTTTTTATGTGTGCCATTTGGGTTTTTCGTTTCGTCTATCTTTAGTATTAGGTTTTTCTTTCATCGGGGTTTGAGGATGTATCCTTTTTCGTTCGTTAACATTATCGTTCATGGAAACATCTAAATCTGTATCGAAATCGCTCTCGCTCGAAATTTCGGCTTCTTCTGTCTTCTTCTTCTTATCCCTTTTCTTCTGCGTTTTAGATTTAATTTCAGTGAAGGGATCTTCATCGATTACCAGGGTTTCCACGGGGTGTTTATCGTCTTTTAGTTTTTCAATCCTTCGGGCTTCGTCAAATGCTGTCTGATATTCTTTTTGGGTGTTTACTAATTTTACGTCTTTAGGTAATTCTAAAGATTTCTTATCTAAAAAGTCAAAATTTGTTTTGTTAGATTTTATATAAACAGAATTTAATACCTCTCCTCGTGAAAAGACGTTAAAAGATAGGGAGGATGGTGCAGAAAACTGAAATGTTTGTTTTTTTTTTCTTCAAGTTTATGACATTCTGTTTCGATTGATTTTTTGATTTTGTTTTCTTTATTGTCGTTTTGAACAAAAGCTGAAGCAACACAACGTTCTCTTGGAACATGTGTGTTCCCACACGTCCTACACAAGAATTCTTTTCCAGAAAAATTTAAGTTTATTTTCATTCCATTTATTTCGATATGGTGT